GCTTCCCCTTCATTTCTGTCAGAGTCTGGGTCTGATGGTTCGGTGCCCTGTCTGAAACCATGTGGGAGAGTGTAGCTGATCTCTCTGTAAGAGTCTGGGTCTGATGGTTCGGTGCCCTGTCTGAAACCATGTGGAAGAGTGTAGCTAATGTCTCTGTCAGAGTCTGGGTCTGATGGTTCGGTGCCCTGTCTGAAACCATGTGGAAGAGTGTAGCTAATGTCTCTGTCAGAGTCTAGGTCTGATGGTTCGGTGCCCTGTCTGAAACCATGTGGAAGAGTGTAGCTAATGTCTCTGTCAGAGTCTGGGTCTGATGGTTCGGTGCCCTGTCTGAAACCATGTGGGAGAGTGTAGCTAATGTCTCTGTCAGAGTCTGGGTCTGATGGTTCGGTGCCCTGTCTGAAACCATGTGGAAGAGTGTAGCTAATGTCTCTGTCAGAGTCTGGGTCTGATGGTTCGGTGCCCTGTCTGAAACCATGTGGGAGAGTGTAGCTAATGTCTCTGTCAGAGTCTGGGTCTGATGGTTCGGTGCCCTGTCTGAAACCATGTGGGAGAGTGTAGCTAATGTTTCTGTCAGAGTCTGGGTCTGATGGTTCGGTGCCCTGTCTGAAACCATGTGGAAGAGTGTAGCTAATGTCTCTGTCAGAGTCTGGGTCTGATGGTTCGGTGCCCTGTCTGAAACCATGTGGAAGAGTGTAGCTAATGTCTCTGTCAGAGTCTGGGTCTGATGGTTCGGTGCCCTGTCTGAAACCATGTGGGAGAGTGTAGCTAATGTTTCTGTCAGAGTCTGGGTCTGATGGTTCGGTGCCCTGTCTGAAACCATGTGGGGAGAGTGTAGCTAATGTCTCTGTCAGAGTCTGGGTCTGATGGTTCGGTGCCCTGTCTGAAACCATGTGGGAGAGTGTAGCTAATGTCTCTGTCAGAGTCTGGGTCTGATGGTTCGGTGCCCTGTCTGAAACCATGTGGGAGAGTGTAGCTAATGTCTCTGTCAGAGTCTGGGTCTGATGGTTCGGTGCCCTGTCTGAAACCATGTGGGAGAGTGTAGCTAATGTCTCTGTCAGAGTCTGGGTCTGATGGTTCGGTGCCCTGTCTGAAACCATGTGGGAGAGTGTAGCTAATGTCTCTGTCAGAGTCTGGGTCTGATGGTTCGGTGCCCTGTCTGAAACCATGTGGGAGAGTGTAGCTAATGTCTCTGTCAGAGTCTGGGTCTGATGGTTCGGTGCCCTGTCTGAAACCATGTGGAATGGCAGACTCTACTCTGACCCAACCTCCACCACTGAACTGAACAGGAGCATCTTCAACATCTGAAAGAAAGTACAAAGCTTCACGTTAGAATGAACTGGACACAGTTGGATCCGTCTGTGATGTTTGTTACTTTGTGTCAGTAAATGTCTTCTGTCCATTTCCCCGTGTCCGTGTCCCAGAGGACCTTTAAAGAGACGCTGATGTTAAACAGATGTCACACACCAGAAGAACCAGGATCGCTCTGACCTGTCCTGTCCATCTTGCCGAGGTAGTCCAGAACTTTCCCGGAGCTGAGGTCCAGGATGAAGCGCCTCGAGGCCTCAGTGTCTGCAACCATCTCACTGTCTTCAGTCCTCCATGGTGTCGGGCCTCGATGGTGTCGAGAGACGGGCACAATGTCTTCAATCCTTGATGGTGTCAGGCCCCGAGAGATGGGCAGAGCCTGGAGGCCTGGAGGTGATGTTACATAGTACTGTCACATGGTACCGTCACATGGTACAGTCACATGTTACGTCACATGTTACCGTCACATGTTATTGTCACATGTTACAGTCACATGTTACCGTCACATGGTACAGTCACATGATACAGTCACATGTTACCGTCACATGTTACGGTCACATGTTACGGTCACATGTTACGGTCACATGTTACGGTCACATGTTACGGTCACATGTTACGGTCACATGTTACGGTCACATGTTACAGTCACATGTTACAGTCACATGTTACAGTCACATGTTACCGTCACATGATACAGTCACATGTTACAGTCACATGTTACAGTCACATGTTACAGTCACATGTTACCGTCACATGTTACCGTCACATGTTACAGTCACCTGTTACAGTCACATTTTACAGTCACATGTTACAGTCACATGTTACAGTCACATGTTACAGTCACGTGTTACTGTCACATGTTATTGTCACATGTTATCGTCACATGTTACAGTCACATGTTACAGTCACATGTTAGAGTCACATGTTACAGTCACATTTTACGGTCACATGTTACCGTCACATGTTACAGTCACATGTTACAGTCACATGTTACCGTCACATGTTATTGTCACATGTTACAGTCACATGGTACAGTCACATGTTATTGTCACATGTTACAGTCACATGTTACCGTCACATGTTATGGTCACATGTTATGGTCACATGTTATGGTCACATGTTATTGTCACATGTTACGGTCACATGTTAGTCACATGGTACAGTCACATGTTAGTCACATGTTAGTCACATGGTACAGTCACATGTTAGTCACATGTTAGTCACATGGTACAGTCACATGTTATTGTCACATGTTAGTCACATGGTACAGTCACATGGTACAGTCACATGTTATTGTCACATGTTATTGTCACATGTTAGTCACATGGTACAGTCACATGTTATTGTCACATGTTAGTCACATGGTACAGTCACATGTTATTGTCACATGTTATTGTCACATGTTAGTCACATGGTACAGTCACATGTTATTGTCACATGTTAGTCACATGGTACAGTCACATGTTATTGTCACATGTTATTGTCACATGTTAGTCACATGGTACAGTCACATGTTATTGTCACATGTTAGTCACATGTTATTGTCACATGTTAGTCACATGTTATCGTCACATGTTAGTCACATGGTACAGTGGTGTCTTCAAATAAATGCACTTTAATCAAAATGCGTCTGAACAAAGACCAAAAGGTTCTGAGATAAAGCTGTTTCTTTCACCTGTAGATTATTAGTGAATTATTAGTGAGTTATTAGTGAGTTATTAGTGAGTTATTAGTGAGTTATTAGTGAATTATTATTAGGGCCTATTGCTTTCACAATGGTGAATGCAAGGAGTGGCGGTGAGTGACGGACGGGAACGTGGCGATTGCGTGCGTAAACTCAAACGCTTTAAAATTATGTATCACGTGCCATTGAAACTAATATTGTTTTTGCTCTGAGACTTTTCCTCTTTTCTTCTGCTCTTTGAACCATAATTTGGCCGTTTCATAAATTTGCCTCAAAATCGCTCCACATGGTTTAAGCACATGCACATTTTGGTTTCACAGAAGTTTGATCTGATAAACGTTGTTTGAGCAGCGGAGCGGCCAAATGTGACTTTTTTTCCCCATTTATGACAATAGCAAATTTGTTCCTGTTTGCACATACAAAGTCCGATTTGCACAAAACTTGGATCAATTGTTCAACTCCAGGGTCTAACTCGTGAAAGTAAAATGATTGAAATTGGCCCATTAGCGCCCCCTACAGACTATGTCAAAGTTTTACATGGAGACAATCACATTGTTTTTTTCAAAAGGTTTGAAATTTTGCACATAGTTCTGTTTTGACCTCTGGATTCAAAAAGTCAATGACAACCCAAGACTTATTTTTTACCCTGTTGCCGCGGCAACGACAAACGCTCCCCATTCTGTGTTAATGACAAATTAACACAAATGTATTTTTATTGCATTTCCTAGTTAAAGTTTTGTTTAAAATGTAGTTAATCGTATTTATTTGATCCAAGTGAAAGAAAATATCATTTTGGAATAATGTTCTGTTTTTGATAGTCCTGCCTTGATTATTCACTAAATATATTTATGTAGTTTAAAAGTGTCCACAGACTCACCTGACAGGACCATGGACAGCAGCACAATCTTCAACATCCTAAAGTATGAAAGTATTAAAGAATAAACTAGACACATTTAAAGTATAAGATAGACAGATTTAAAGTATAAGATAGACAGATTTAAAGTATAAGATAGACAGATTTAAAGTATAAGATAGACAGATTTAAAGTATAAGATAGACAGATTTAAAGTATAAGATAGACAGATTTAAAGTATAAGATAGACAGATTTAAAGTATAAGATAGACAGATTTAAAGAATAAGATAGACACATTTAAAGTATAAGATAGACACATTTAAAGTATAAGATAGACAGATTTAAAGAATAAGATAGACACATTTAAAGTATAAGATAGACAGATTTAAAGTATAAGATAGACAGATTTAAAGAATAAGATAGACATATTTAAAGTATAAGATAGACACATTTAAAGAATAAGATAGACACATTTAAAGTATAAGATAGACACATTTAAAGTATAAGATAGACATATTTAAAGTATAGAATAGTCACCTGAGGCAGCGGCACCTTCTCTGAGCGACCTCCGCAGACCACAGCAGATCTTTATAACCTTCTTTATCATAAACTTCTGATCTGCACTTTACACTTTGATCCTGCTCCATACTTTTATCTTCAGGATCATAAAACATCTACTTTACCCAGTCATGCTTTAAGTTTGCAGCATCGTGGTTCATTTGGATCTGAGTAAAACCTGGTTCGATGAGGAAAGAAAATAACAGGGAATAACAGATTTAGGGAAAAATTTTATACCCACCTGTATGTGGAGTGTTCTTCCCTGCCGGGGGACTACGGATGCAAATTAGCCTAAGGCTAACTCCGGTACAATGCATCAAATGGAGGCATTTATGTTCTAATTGTACACTGTCCCTTTTTAAATAAATAAAATTGAAAAAAAAAAAAAAAAAAAACATACATTTATTAAAGTGAAGTATTATGTAACTTTGACCATTACTTAAATCTGGTTTTCTGTGCTTAAAGTGAGGCGCGTGCCCGCTGCCGCGCGTGCCTGTGGCCCCGTTATGTCACAGTTACAGCACATACGTCATACGTCAAGTTAGCAGCATTTTCACTGAACACAAACTATTCACTGTGTGTGGATACAGTCTATGGTGTATATGCGTGTTATAGGGTTGGTGGTTCAATTCCATTTATTTGTATGTTGTGTACGTGTGTGTGTACTTGTGTGTGTACGTGTGTGTGTGATCAGATCAGTGTTATGTTGTGTTAATTTCATGGGTTAGCATCAAAGACGTTAGCATTTGTTAGTTTTGTACCGCAGTCATGTATTAAAATACTGATAATGTATTTGAAAATAATGTATTTTTATTGCAGTGAAAAATAAACAAGAAAATACCACCTGGTGAAATGAAACATTGATTGTATTTTTATTTTGAAGCTAAACCCGGAAGTGGCTGCGTCCACGAGCACGTTGTGAAACCCGGAAGTGTGTGTGTAGTTTACTTTGTGCTGTCCCTGAGCCTCTGCTGTTGTTGTTGTTCCTTTGCCCCCGCGGTCGTTCGTAGTATTTTCACTTTTCTGAAGTTTGCACCAGTTTTAGGTTACGCAATGAACGTGACTCTGAAAGACTGACTAACGTTAGCTCAGGAGAGACTGGCTCACACTAGAGGACAGCAGTAGGACAGCAGTAGGACAGCAGTAGGACAGCAGTAGGACAGCAGTAGGACAGCAGTAGGACAGCAGTAGGACAGCAGTAGGACAGCAGTAGGACAGCTGAATATGGCGTTAGTTTCTGTTTGTAGCAGATTGGCGCAGTTTTCAGCTCGATCTGCCGCAGTTTGGCTGAACTCGAACCACAAGTGTCTGAAAAGTTTCACCTCCAGCGTTCAGCCGCTCAGGTCAGTGATACAACTGCTACACTATGTGTGTGTGTATTTATATGTGTGTGTGTATGTATATATGTGTGTGTGTGTATGTATATATGTGTGTGTGTGTATGTATATATGTGTGTGTGTATATATACAGTGCCTTGCAAAAGTATTCGCCCCCCTTGAACCTTTCAACATTTCGCCACATTTCAGGCTTCAAACTTAAAGATATAAAAGTTATTTTTTTGTCAAGAATCAACAACAAGTGGGACACAATCGTGAAGTGGAACAAAATTTATTGGATAATTTAAACTTTTTTAACAAATAAAAAAACTGAAAAGTGGGGCGTGCAATATTATTCGGCCCCTTGCGCTAATACTTTGTAGCGCCACCTTTTGCTGCAATTACAGCTGCAAGTCGCTTGGGGTATGTCTCTATCAGTTTTGCACATCGAGAGACTGGAATTCTTGCCCATTCTTCCTTGCAAAACAGCTGGAGCTCAGTGAGGTTGGATGGAGAGCGTTTGTGAACAGCAGTCTTCAGCTCTTTCCACAGATTCTCGATTGGATTCAGGTCTGGACTTTGACTTGGCCATTCTAACACCTGGATACGTCTATTTGTGAACCATTCCATTGTAGATTTGGCTTTATGTTTTGGATCATTGTCCTGTTGGAAGATAAATCTCCGTCCCAGTCTCAGGTCTTTTGCAGACTCCAACAGGTTTTCTTCCAGAATGGTCCTGTATTTGGCTCCATCCATCTTCCCATCAATTTTAGCCATCTTCCCTGTCCCTGCTGAAGAAAAGCAGGCCCAAAGCATGATGCTGCCACCACCATGTTTGACAGTGGGGATGGTGTGTTCAGGGTGATGAGCTGTGTTGCTTTTACGACAAACATATCGTTTTGCATTGTGGCCAAAAAGTGTGATTTTGGTTTCATCTGACCAGAGCACCTTCTTCCACATGTTTGGTGTATCTCCCAGGTGGCTTGTGGCAAACTTTAAACCAGACTTTTTATGGATATCTTTGAGAAATGGCTTTCTTCTTGCCACTCTTCCATAAAGGCCAGATTTGTGCAGTGCACGACTGATTGTTGTCCTATGGACAGACTCTCCCACCTCAGCTGTAGTTAACTGCAGTTCATCCAGAGTGATCATGGGCCTCTTGGCTGCATCTCTGATCAGTCTTCTCCTTGTTTGAGATGAAAGTTTGGAGGGACGGCCGGGTCTTGGTAGATTTGCAGTGGTCTGATACTCCTTCCATTTCAATATAATTGCTTGCGCAGTGCTCCTTGAGATGTTTAAAGCTTGGGAAATCTTTTTGTATCCAAATCCGGCTTTAAACTTCTCCACAACAGTATCTCGGACCTGCCTGGTGTGTTCCTTTGTCTTCATGGTTCTCTCTGTGCTTTAAACAGAACCCTGAGACTATCAAAGAGCAGGTGCATTTATACGGAGACTTGATTACACACAGGTGCATTCTATTTATCATCATCAGTCATTTAGGACAACATTGGATCATTCAAAGATCCTCACTGAACTTCTGGACTGAGTTTGCTGCACTGAAAGTAAAGGGCCGAATAATATTGCACGCCCCACTTTTCAGTTTTTTATTTGTTAAAAAAGTTTAAATTATCCAATAAATTTTGTTCCACTTCACGATTGTGTCCTACTTGTTGCTGATTCATGACAAAAAATGTAAATTTTTATATCTTTATGTTTGAAGCCTGAAATGTGGCGAAATGTTGAAAGGTTCAAGGGGGCCGAATACTTTCGCAAGGCACTGTAT